TGAATGTTACTGCATATGCATAAGACAAATGAAGTTCAAGGTAGTTTGTGCCTTACTATTGTTGAGAAATTAAAATCCCAGAGGCAGTATTTTCTCTCTCAAAATGTGCATGCTGCCTGATTGAATGAACTGTTATGGAAGTGTAGTTTTTAAGTGTGAGGCAGGGTATCTGTCCAAGTGAGACATTCTCAAAGTGTCCAAACAGGACAACTAAAAGTATATCAGGTTCCTGTTGGATTTTGTGAACGTCTGCTTTTGTGTAGGTGACCCCCCCCTCAACAATGTATGCACACATGCACACAAAACAAACATACAATTATAGTGAGAAATATATGGAAGTGGCAAAATGCTTTTATATAGAAATAGAGAAAGTTATATAATACTATGAATATTTTTTGAAAAACAAAAATGATTTTTGAGAACATTTTTGAAAAACATATAAGTGTGTTTATTTTGTTGTTTTTAGTTTTTGTTTGGCTTTGCTTTTATATTGAATTGAGAGGAATCTGTTTCTTTAATTTTAAGGAATTAAAGGAAAATAATTGAAACAAACATTTATTCTAATGACTGGTTGTCAAGAATAAGAAAATTCCAAACCTAAGTCATAATTAAAATGTTATCTTTTAATATTGGCTTAACTACATGATTTTTTTCTTTTAAGAATTGTTTATAGTCTGGAAGGCAACCAGATAACTCCAATGGTGTTATAATTAAGGTAATTCTATGATTCGAAACTTCTTGACAGTATCCTGTCGAAATAAGCCAATATATAAAATCTCAATAAAAATCTTTATTTTTAAAAGAACTGAATGTTACCTTATCAAGTAAAATTAACTTCATAACTCTTTAGACCTTTATAATACTAATGACACAAATACAGTTTCTATTTTGAGAATTATAGATTTTATGATATTCAAAATAATGGTGTAAAATGAGAAACTATTTTGAAGAAAATATGCCATACAACAAAATTTAAACGATTTATTAAACTAAGCTTCGATATTCCAATAAATTCTCACTGCTTGTTTGCTTTGTATAACACTTATTTGTTAATCAAAAACTGGGTCTTCTGAAGCTTGTGATTTTTATTTTATTGGCTAGAATGACACAGTTCTATTTATAATTATGTGACCTTTAACTATAACTGAAAATGTTTAAGAAAACCATTGAAAAAATCTTTTAGAGTTTCATTTCTTTGCAAATAGAAAGATCTTCAGTTACTGATTCAGTGTTCAATCCTTAAGGCATGACTCCAGTTGAAATTATTAAACTAATTATAACTATTACATTAAGAACTGAAACTGTTAACAAATAAAGTAAAACAATGTTGCAGAAGTGGGGACTATGGAGACAGACTTTACTTCTCACTTAGCTGCAATGAGTGTTCCCTGAGCAAGGTATGCCAGTATCTTTGCTGCCAATATCTTTGCTCCCTTCTTACTTTGTATCTCTCTGGATAGTCAGTCACCCCACTTGTTTACAGAGCTTTAAAAGACTCAAATCTTTCCTGGTCAGTACCATACTTTACCAGGTAGACAGATGGGTTTTCAATGTGTCTAATGAACACAGGAGTTATTAACATAACTGCTAGAATTTTACTTTTGAATTTTCTTTTATACCTAAACATTCATATAAAGAGTGCTCCATACCTTTTGGTCTTTAAATAATAACCCCTATTTTAAAGTTAATCTAGATTTATTTAAAGATTACATAATTATATAGTGGCTCTTGAGCCTCAGGAGTGATCACTGAGCATAGTGCTTAGTCCTGGCAATGTGCTCAAGGATAACCCCTGAAAGGGCTTGAGAGACCATATTGGCTGCTGCAGGTTGAACCAGGTGGACCACGTGCAAGATAAGTGCCATATTCACTGTTCTATTGCTCTAGCCCCAAATGCATTTTTTTTTATTGTTACTAGTTTCCTTTGGGACTTAGCACTCAAGCAGTGCTAGGACCAGTGCTGCTCAGAGGCCACCAGAACTGCAATTGGTAGTGTTCAAGTGGCAGAGATATGTAGCACCAAACACTGAACTCAGGACTTTACACATACAGTACAGTCACTGCCACATGAGCCGCACCATCAATCTCAAATGATCTCTATTAGCAGCATTTTCAGTCATAATTGAAACTTTAACTCAGTTGCCCTTGTACTATTTGAAGTATGAAATAAAACCCTATGAGAGTCTTTCTTGTCCTTGCTTCACTAATTTAAAAATTATGAATTATTTTCTTCTATTATTAATTCTGTTGTTAATATTAAAGATGTTTAGATTTTCATGTACAAATATCTAAGTATCTCTGTAATTTACTTCTAAAATGTTTTTATTATTCCATCTTATAAAACTAAAAGAATGAGGTCCAACATACTGAAATGACTCAAATATTAATCTAGTTGTAAACCAAATAAAATGAGCTAAGGATTAAAATTGTAAACAAATCAATCATTGTCGTGTGTTCTGTGTACTACTTGTTTACAGTCAAAGATACAATATTGTCCTCTGAAAATTACCTCTAATATTGAGAGTGAAAATATGCAGAATTTAGATTTTGTAGACAAAAAGTTATTCTGGAGATTGGTTGCATTAGTGAATATGCCTAATAATACTGAATTATATGTTTAAAATGGTTAAGACAGAGGCTGGAGTGATAGCACAACAGGTAGGGCGTTTGCCTTGCACACGGCTGGCCGACCTGGGTTCGATTCCCAGGATCCCATATGGTTCCCCGAGCACTGCCAGGAATCGTTCCTGAGTGCATGAGCCAGGAGTAACCCCTGTGCATCGCCAGGTGTGACCCAAAAAGCCAACAAAAAAATAAAATGGTTAAGATAAAATTTATATTATATATATTTCACTACAATTAACAAAACATTATAGTATACCTTAATCTTGTAAGTTATTAAACACAGTTTAAAATAATCCAAAGTACTGTTTTTAAAAAGGGAAAGAAATGATGTGCAGTTTAGTATTTTCTGCCACCAGTGCTTAATCAAGCAAACCCCAAAATAGGTTCAAAAATCTCTTGAGTTTCCAGACAGTTGCAATAATTTCAATTTTACTATATATTTATGTAGGACTCATGGTTTAAGGTTGATAGCATATTACTGTCAATTGCCCTATGCCTGATCCATTATGATTTATTTACTTAGTTATTTTATATTTTTAATTATTTGATTTTGCAGCCAGATTTCAAACTCAGGGCTTCAGTACATTCAAGGCAAGAGCTCTACTACAGAGCTATATTTCTGGCCCTTACTTGTTTTGATATTGTATTAAACACCCCAGAATGCACCATCTAGATTAAAATTAAGATATGGTGAATAACTTACTTCTTAATATCAATTTAAAGTTTTTATTCTGGGTAACTTTCTGAATTTTCTGTTTGTCACACTCATGATTTTCCTTTTAATTATTGCATTTACATATATAGTTATCTATTTTAATAGTTTCAAACTTTATTTTGAAAGGATCTTGCTACTATGGAAAATGTACAGTTGGGAAATACAATTTTTATCTAATAATTAATGACTAATTTTCACCCCTATTAGTTTTAATTGCTGAAGATTCAGTTTACATTTTACTGCTTGCTATTATTCAAAATTTTATGGAAATAAAATTGTAGTGTTTTAAACTATTTCTGAGTAAATTTTGCCCATAAGCATACAATTTGAACCTATTTATGATTCAGCCTTCCTGTCTATGTATACTTATGATTGTGATTTGTATGTTGTTCAAATGTGTTCTTAAATGAACAATCCTACTTTCTTTAAAGCCTCAATAATTTCACTGTTTCTGTCATTATGAGTTTTGAGTGTAATTGTATGTTCTTTATTTACAGACATAAAACCTTAAAATTTCACCATCAGATAATATCATATAAAAACTAGTGCCTTCTAAATCATTTGTTAATTCCAGGTTTAACAAGTCTATTTAAATGCATTCCCTCAGGTTATTTTCCTTTTTTTCTTACCTATTAAAACATTTTCTGCTAACATTGGTGAGAAACATAATAAAAGTTTGTTGGGAACACTTGAAACATTATAAGCAACTCAGAGCGTGCTTTTCTTGTTCCTTCTTGTCTGTAGTTGATGGAGCAATAAGATTGTTTGAACCTTATTTTTCAAAAGCTTCCTGACGGAATTTCTGAAGTTTGTTGAAAAGATAAAGTAAAACCTTTGTTATAAATTCAAGGCTGTTAAAGCGTGACTAAAAACTACCAACCAAGAAGTTTGTTTTCCTTGTTTTTAATCATTGGCCCGAAGAATACCCAGTATATAGTGGTTGATGGACTCGAAGTTCAGAAGGAGGATAGACTCTAGATCCTATTTTGGTTCTTCTGTGAGCTAACTTCTTGTCCTTGATATATTATTTAATAGCTGTACTTTATGTTTTCTGACTTGGAAATGAGAGTAAATATAGCTATTCCAAAGGGTCTTTATGAGATTTAATAAGATAATACTTAATATGATAAATATGTTTAGCAAAGTGACAGATACATGATATCCAGGCACATTAAGTATTGTCATTAAATCCACACTGGTCTTTGACTCGATGTGATAATATTTATGCTTTCTGACAGAGACATATTTCCCAAGCTTCGTATCTAATATTTATAATACACCTGTACTCTGAGGTAACAGAAAAACAAGGTGGAGAGAATAATTTCTTACATAAGCAAATGCTAACATGGAGTTCCATTGATATCACAATAAGAAGCTATGACTCTGAATATATAGAATCATCTACTGAATTTATTTTAGAAAAATTAAAAGGTAAATAAAAATGAATTCTCCTGCACCGTTTTCTTTTTAAATGTTTTTTGGTAGTGTCTTGGGAAATATTATAAATATTTAAAAAAAAGTTCCAAAATTCTTGCCTCAACTTTAAAAACATGCCGTTGGTTTGATATCCACTCTTCAATTTCAAATATTGACTTTTCTAATTAGAATTGTGGGATATTTTAGATATTTAAATTATAACACACCTTGAAATGTTTTACAGATTTACTGGCCTGCTGCAAAAGAACGAGTAGAATTATGTAAATTAGCTGGGAAAGATGCCAATGTAAGTAAGACACTGTAAAAAATATTGTTATTAAATTGGAACTGATATATTAGTAAATATTTATATTGGGTTTTGCTAAATCAATGACATTAAAGTGTTTTTAAGATTATACCAGCATATTCTGTGTAAAAATTAAATGGTATAAACTATGTTGAAAAATGTGTGATATTCTACTTTTCAGAAGGAATGAAAATATTTTTATAAATTTAGAATTTCTGGCTTTCTAACGTGTCAATTCAATATTAGAATTTTATCATAAATATTTGAAGTACATTTTAATACTAAAAATAAGCCATCTGAAAATGTTATATTTCTAGGTTTAGGTATTTTTATTTATATACAGTATACTTTTATGTACACTAAATTGTATTATCTGTTCTTTTAACATTGTGAACGTACAACTGATTTAATTTGAGTTGCGGTTGAATTTACAGTATTTAGAAAACTCTTAAATTTCCATTATTATTAAGAAGGATTCAAAATGAGTAAGAGTGTCTGGTACAATAACTAAAAATAATATAAACTTAAGTGTAATCATTTTAATTAATTTAAAAATGAATACATTATGGGAGGCTTCTATACAATTCTAATTTCAGCTAACTGGAGAACTAGAGAAAACTTCTAGACCTAGACCGTACGATTAACCTAATCTTCTTTGGGGCATCCTGTCTGGATTACATTGTACAAGTTGTCCTGCATCCTCTCCCAAATTGCCTTCCCTGTTTTATCTTCAGCAATGACTGAGCAGTGCTGTGTTCTGACTGCCTCTTCTCATCAGAGTTATCTGATTCAGGCCAGATGCTCTGTGTTATGCACTGATTTCTTGCACTGTGTTGATGGAGGGATTTACGTTTTTTTGGTTTTTTTTTTTTTTTGGCAAAATAAGTTACTTCCTGACTGTAATTCAAGAGGAAAAACGTTTCTGACCTTAGGCAGAACCATAGACAGCTTGAGACTTTCTGCAACATCCTCTAAAATGGCCTTTACATGCAACAACCTAATGATATTTAGCTCAGTATTGTTTCACATTTAATTAAAAAACAGTATGTGTTCTATGAAAGCATAATTTGATTAAAATGTATTACTTTGTCAATGTGAAAAAAATAAAACATGCCATGCGATAGCTAATAAATACTTAAAGGGATAATTAAAGACCAAGAATCCTAGACAACACTCTTGTTCATTCATATTCAACAGTTATTAAGAGACAAAACATGAGTTTATTATTTGTTAGACTAAGTATCTGCTCTCGTGGAGTTTTTAATCTGATAAAGGATATAGATGTCCTCAAATGACAATCTTCACAATGTATTGCAAAAGGAATCATCAAAACAGAACTAGAAAGTAATATATGATTATGCCCAGTGTTCTGTTTCACAGCAGGTAGGGCATTTGTCTTGCATGCAGCTGACCCGGGTTCAATTCCTCTATCCTTCTCAGAGAACCCGGCAAGCTACCAAGAGTATCCTGCCCATACGGCAAGCCTGTCAAGCTCCCCGTGGCATATTTGATATGCCAAAAACAGTAAGAACAATCCTCACAATGGAGACGTTACTGGTGCCCACTCCAGCAAATCGATGAACAATGGGAGGAGAGTGCAGTGCTACAGTTGCGTTATTATTGTTAAGCGAGATCTTTTCAACAACATTTATGTTAGTTGAAACATGTTAATATTAATATAAAATGCAATAGAAAAATATTTTCACATATATTTTGACAAAATTGAAAGTTGCAAAAATTATTCTATAATATTTTTCCTTCCATTTCTCTAATCATTTTACTCTGTAATATATCCCAACTCTAGTTTCCTAGATCTCTAAAATCGTCAATAATTTTTGAATTTGTGAGAGAAAAATAATGCCTTGGTTACAAAAGTCTCTAAATTATTTTTAATAATAACAAGAGTGCTTCATTAATAGTATGAACATTTTCATATTTTATCAGTATCGATTATATAATGAGTCCAGAGGAAAAATAATCAAATAAATAGTTAAGACTTCCTGTGAAGAAATTTAAAGTATTTTATAGAGTGAAAATCTTTGTATTCCAATAAAATAATGTTAAGTTTCCCATGAGTTACCCTTTAAGGTCAAATAGTGAAGAGTTTAATTGCAGCAGTCTTCTCATTTCACTGTGTTCACTTATTATAGTTATATAGTAACCAGAAACCCCTACTTCGGGTGACAGTAAAGGGGGATAAAGTTTTCTACACATGATATCTGAGAGCATGTACAGCCTCAGTGGTGGAACCTCATCTTTCAGCTTAACTGTATCTGAGAGACAGTAACTTCCTTTAAGCTTATGCAAATCTCCTTCTTAACCAGGAGTAGAGACGTGGGTCAGTGTTGCACTTGCTATTAGTCTGCAGAGTTGAATGTTTAATTATGTAGATTTAGATGGAAACAATATTTTAAGAATTGGAGAGATAGTAACAGGGTTCCGGTACTTGCCTTGCATTGTGACTGACCCAATTGGCAGCACAGCATATGGTACTCCGAGCACCACCATTAGTGATCTCTAATCTCAGAGCCAGGAAGGCCAGGAGTGACTACAAACCAATGGAAAAATAATTAATAAACAAAATGAAAACCTCAATATTTTATCATTAATAAGGTTAGCTAATACTTTTCTAGTATTCACTGTGTTCCAAGAACTAATTTCAATGATTTACATTTATAATTTCATTTAATCATTTACAACAAATACTATTTGTTGGACTTTTATTATTATCCGTTGTTTTCCAGATGACAAAATTGAGGCCAAAAAAAAAAAAAAGGAAACTGAGTGCCCAGTTTCTCATATATCTTCAATGTAAAGCTAGAACTAAATTAAATAGTCTTACTCCAGATATATGCTCATACACAGGGATATAATGTGAGGTCTGAATTCTACTACATAGAAGTTCTGAAGACCAGTATTTCAGAAATCATTTTTCTCTTCAATATTGCTGTAATACAAGTCCCACTTTAAACATGATGGAAGACTGAGACAAGTGTGTGTGTTTTTACTGTCATCTTTTCCTACCTTGACCTTGCCTTCCATTCTCCCTTTTCTCTATTTATTTCTTACCTACTTCCCAAGAGTATGTTATGGATTAACAAGAGTTTGGAAAGATTGTCCCTAGATACAAAGGTACTATACTAAAAAAAATAAAGTGAATTATTTACCACAATGGAAATTAGCCTAAATGAAGTGAGAAGGGAGTGGAGAATAAAACAAAAGAGAACTATTCCTGTTCTTTCATATCATCCCCAGTTTAATCCAGGAAAGAAAAGTGTGATAAAATTTTGAGGTGCATCATTTTGTATCTATTTTGAACATTAGTCAAATGATAATCACTGAATAAATGTCTTTATTTCAGCCTATAAAAAATGGGTTAACAGTACAGTTTGGACAAAGCAAGGCAGAGGGTGTGGGCAGTCAGGGATCTGTTTGTCTATTTAGTCTTAGATATGTACAAAATTTGTCCACAGGAGAATTCATAGAGTTAATGCATCTTCTATTTCTAAAGCACCATGATTACATTCACTTTAAATTTCAAAGTTAAAGCACTGTTCATTGTTAAAAGTTGCAAGTTATATATATACAAGTCAGGTGTAATTTAGAATTCTGAGGTGGCTTATAATTTCTGGATGTTTCTTCTGTTTTATGCTTTCTAATGCATTCCAGAAAAAAATTCTATACATAATTCTTTTTTTTTTAAATTTCATATTCTGGTAGGTGCATTTTCCCATGTCATTATATTTTTTTAAGACTACTTTTAATTACCACTATTATTTCATCAAATGTCATTGTTACAAATTTGTTATATATCCAGTTTTTAACTATTACAAAAGAAGCTGCACATTGAAAACCTCATAATAAAAATTCTGAACATATTTGATTAAAAGTAGGTTAGGTCACAGTCACGGTTCTCCCGTTGTTCATCAATTTGCTCGAGCGGGCCCAGTCTACATTGTGACAATTGTTACTGTATTTGGCATATCGAATATGTCATGGGTAGCTTGCCCGGCTTTTCCGTGTGGGCGAGATACTCTCGGTAGATTGCCGGGCTCTCCGAGAGGGGCGGAGGAATCGAACTTGGGTTAGCCATGTAGGCCACGTGCAAGGCAAACGCCCTACCTGTTGTGCTATCACTCCATTACTGGTCAGAATATTTTAAAATATTTATACACATATTGCAAAATTCATCTCAAAAAAGTTTGTGCCTTTCATGTTTTAACTAGGTATATGCTTATGATAAGGTATTTATCCATATATTTGCTAATATTGGATAAAATATGCAGTAAACATTAAATGCTAAACTATATAAATCCATTTTAATTAATTAATTAAATATTTAATCAATATTTAATTTTATTTTTGTACTACAAAAATAAAATTGTTTTGTGAATTTTCTTGAAAAAGCTTTTTTTTGGCTTTTGGACCACACCCAGTGGTACTCAGGACTCACTCCTGGCTCTGTGCTCAAGGCTCACTCCTGGTGGGATATAGCCTGGGTTGGATACATGCAAGAATATGTCTTACTCACTGCACTCACTGGACTCTCTCTCTCTGGTCCCTATCTTGACATTTCATATTCCAATTTGTACTAAATAGTTAGTTGTGATATTAGAATTTTTTTATCGTTGCCACTAAAATTTTCTTATCATTGTGTGCTTTGCTTTTTAACATTTATGCCAACTTTAAATTTCATTTAATTTTGTTTATTTTAAGTAGTGTGATTTATGATACTTTTACTGGTTAGAATTTTACAGTTTTCCAACACACGCTCTCCCAAAAATGTTCTCTTACCTATCCCACTATGCTCCTGCTTCCTTCTCTCCATCCTAACTCTTAATCCCCCCACCTCATCCATGCTCAGGTTTGAGAATCAGTTTTCAGATTCTGTTGCCTTTAGGCATTTTTAATTTCCCCTTTATATTTTTTTATGCCCTTCACCTGAATTAGGCCATTCTCTATTCATCCTTTTCCTTCTAGCTAACTTCATGCAGTATGAT